GACAATTTGGAATCATCAAATAACCTCAACATGTTTCTGGACTGTGGAAGGAAGCTGGAGAACCTGGAGAGAACCCACGCTGCACGGGGAGAACATGCAAACTCCACACAGAAAAATCCCGGTGTCCTCACCGGGACACAAACCAGCGACCTTCTCGCTGTGAGGCAACAATGCGAACCACCGCTCCACCTTGCCCAGCTTCCTAATCAATAACTGCATTTCATTGTATTCATTGACTTTATTGTCAATGCTGTGCAATGATAATAAAGTTGAATTTTAATTTTAATGTTCAAGCCTTCACAGGAGCTCTGCTGTTTCCATGGTTTGTACGTTAAATATGTGGAACTCAGTCCACATTGACTCCTTCAGGTTCAAAACCTTTAAGCAGATTTGTTGCCTGTCTCACCTGTCCAGGAGAGAGGTTGTGAAGACTGCTGGGGTGACTGACAGGCTTCTTTCACCACTCTGTAGTTCAGCAATAAACCAAACATAAGGTCTCTCTGCTCTCCATCTCTGACAAACAGCAGCCGACCTTTAAGCCCCACAGTAACAGACAAAATGGCGGCAGTTGCTCCAAACAGAACAGTGAGGGAAAATGAAACTCCCTTCATAAAGTCCCTGTCCACGTCAAGTTTGACTGAGTCTCTTCTAAAAACAGAACATCAGTCTGTTTTTGAGTAACAGCATCAATGATTGAAGGCCCTTTTATGCCTCTCCACCATTAATGTTCAGAGAGACCAAATGAAACAAGAGGAGTAAAAACAGAAGACTACCATGTGGTTGTGTTACTTTAACTTGGTCCTTCTAAAAGTTTTACCTTCTGTTGCTTTTCTCAGTGTTGTGATGTGCTTTTTAAAGTGAAAGTGTTACATTTCATCTAAAAAGCTTAAAGAGGACAGAGGAAACAAATGATTCCCTGCCTTCATTTTAAATTGGCTTTATTGGCACTGTGCAGCAACACACCTGTCTGTCTGTTTCAGGTTTGGTATCCGGTTCCCCTGCATGTCTGACGCTTACAGTAAAGTTCTCAGAGGTTTGGCCTTGGAGGTTGGGTCTGAGCTCGGCTGCAGCGACTTCATCAGAGAAGGAGTTTACTGCATGGTGAGCGGACCGAACTTCGAGACCATTGCTGAGGCCCGAATGCTGCTGATCCTGGGCTGCGACTCAGTGGGTAAGACAGGTGGACAGACAGGTGGACAGACAGGTGGACAGACAGGTGGACAGACCAACAGACAGACAAGTGGAGAGACAGACGTGGATGGAAAGACAGAAAATATAATTTAGTGCTTCATTTCAGTGACACCTGACCTCAGGTTGACCTGATAAAGTTTGATGCAATGAGAAGTGATGAAGGCTTGCATTAATGTTCTCTTTAATTCTGCTTCACTCTCTGTTCTCCTGGTTCTTCTCAGGTATGAGTACAGTACCTGAAGTGACGGTGGCCAAACACTGTGGACTCAGAGTTCTCGGTCTGTCCCTGATCACCAACAAGGTCAGTTAGTAAATCCAGGGCAGCATGACTGCAGTTTAATTGCAGTTTAATTTCAGTGTGACTGCAGAGTGATTGCAGTGTGACAGAGCTGATCAGGCTGTATGATGATGTGAGTGTGTTGTGCATCAGGTGTCTCTGGACTACAGTCGGGAGGAGAAGGTGAACCACGAGGAGGTTCTGGAGATCAGTAAGATGAGGGCGGAGGTTCTGCAGAAACTCGTCACCACACTGATCAGTCGCTGCCAGCAGCAGAGCATCAACACACACTAACAGCTTCAACAGCATCACACAGCATTCGGCTGCAGCAGCAGTATGAAGTGTTTTACTCTTCCCAGGTTGAACTCACCTGTAGTGACACACTGAGGACGACATCTCTCATTCACTATAACATGTCTTCTGTTAGACCAGCTGGGTTTACCTGTGTGGTAAACCCAGCCAAAACCAGGACACACCTGAACAGGACCTGTCACGTCACCGTGGAAACGTGACTGTAAACACACTGTGACCAGTCGACTGTAACTGTTGGAGTTTTTTTTTTTGCTGCTGCCACAATAAAACTGCTGCAAATGACTGAAGACTCTTAATTTAGATCTGAACTGAAGTGTTAAAACAATAAAGTCACACAATAACACAAAGTAACTGATCAATGCAGTAGTCATTTAGCAACTCCCCTGTTCTACGACGTAAAATCAATGTTTTGGTCAGTGAAGTCTTCGAGGACAGAAACACGACAGCTTCAGTTCTCTGCCAGAAAGGCTTCACAGCAAGGTGAAAATATTCTGAATGTTGTGTCAGCTGAGACTGATATTGATGTTTTCAGGTGACTAAAACACATTTTGTTGCTAAATCTGTCCACAGCAGGATGTTGTTTAACTTCTCTGCTGGTCCTAAACTAATTAATGGATCTGTACCTCATTTAAGTGCACTTTAAATAATCTGAACTAACCCTTTTACGAGCTAACCCTTTACCTGATTTGATGCATCTCAGACTGCTGTCTGTGCACTCAACAAACCTCTGCTCTCAAATTACTGCTTAACAACGCTGTCAAAAGTCTCCAACCAACAGAAAGCCAGCTATGCTGTTGAGTGATGAAACCGTTGCTTCCTCCATGCAGGTGACTGCCACAGATTCACACTAAAAACTGGAAAAGTGTTAAACTAAAGTCTGAGTCCACCTGCAGGAGAACGGGCAGCTGACCGTTCTCAGGTGATCGGTGCAGGTGTTGGTCGGTCCCTTATTCATGACAACATACAGAAAATAAAAGTGTCACAAAGACTCTGGTAATAGGAGGGGCTAAATACTGAGGGTAATGATTGTCTGGCCTCTGATTGACAGTATGTGACTGTGTAACGGGGTTCATCCACTCTGACCTCCAGAATTTATTATAAGTACCTCATTTGTTGTCTTGCTAGAATTTGATAGTTAATACATACTACAGTGTCTGTATTTTTACTATAATAACTACATATAATACCACATAGGATCTCCCAAATCAGCCACCTCAGGTCAGTATTATTTTTATGTTGCTGTCACTTTCTTAAAGTTTAACAAGTAAAGACATATTTTCTGCACAGGAAAGCATCCATGCAGCAATATTTTCAATCAGGTTAACAACAGTTGCAGGATGATTTAGCTGAACAAGCCTCCAATAAGTTGATTGAATCCAGCTGAGTGTCATCTAAACACTGCTTCAATAAGTAGAATACATGCAAGGAGGTCTGAGTTTTGTACAAAGTAGGCAACATGCTCACTGAAACTGTTCTCAAAAGTTTCTTTTTTATGTTAGAGGTAAGAACTTTTGCACTCGTTAATTTAGGGGCAACACCTCAGTTTACTGAGGAATTATTTTAAATGAAATCTCAAAGAGACTTTATTTGAAACTATTTGATCAGTCTGTTACCTGAAAGTCATAAATTCTGATTAAACTGACCTCAGTTCCCACACAAAAAATACACAAAACCGTGAACTGGTCTAAATAAGAAAGGTTTATTAGCTATTCCACAATTATAATACACGTGAACGCTTGTCAGGGTTGATGAAAATATGATTTTACTATTAACAGTGGCTCTAATTGTGCTTTTGGCCACATTTGGTATTAGCAAAAACAGAAAAAGAATGTATGGAAGGCGTGGAGAGGAGTTTGCCGCAACTTTTGGTAACTTAACCCTCCTCTTCTTGTTATCAAGAGGAGAGAAGACTGCATTTCTTAACTTAAATTAAGAAAATGCACTATATCCATCTCTCACCATGACCCATGAACATGAAATGAAAGAACAGTGACGTACATATACCTCATGAGATATAACATCGACTATGCAGCAAAAATCAGAATGTGATGTAAAGTGTTAGATGTATGTCAGCATGTGGAAACATAACACCTGGGGTGAAGCATTGATTCCTACATGACTGATTATACCTGTGATTAAACATTAATGCATTTAATGAGCGGCAACATGAGTGGTAATGGTGATGTAGTCTCGACCTCACCGGCCACTTACTGTTGCTAGATGGCACTGTGGATCCATGACCGAAGCGTGAAAATTTTTGTAAAATGTTATCGTGGTCCTCATACCACCTACAGATGTGATTTTTAGATAGGTGATACAAAGCCTTCTTATTGAGATCAGTACAGTTATAAACACACCAAACAGAGATTGGAAAAATTGTTCTTTGACCTGTGTACATGTAAATTGTCACAATGTATATATACATTTTCTGCTCAGATGTGTAAATTCTTGTATATATTTGTCTTATCTTGTTTTGTTTTTATTATTATTTATTGTATTTTATTTTATTCCTTTCTTTCTGTAGTTATTTTACTTTATTTTTTTTTTTTTTTTAAATCTAATTAATTTTTTTATTTTCCTCTTTCTATTATTCCTGCAAATTCCTATGGCGACACCAACAGCCGAAACCAAACTCCTTGTATGTTGTGTACATACTTGGCCATTAAAGCTGATTCTGATTCTAATTCTGATTCTGATGTAAGAGTGTAAGACTTTTCCAGACCCCTACTGGTATGCAGCCCAAGTTTTATGACTGTGCTCATCAACTACCCCGCTGCCAGTGAGGGGAACATCTGGAATGATCCACCGCCAGATAAACGGAAGAAAATGGTTGAATGGATGGATATGAGAAATTCACAAATGTTCACTGAACTCTCAGACTGTTGGCGTTTGCTCCAATATACTTTAAATTTCATACTTTGTATCTTCAGAATTGAGGTTCCTAATAATCTTGTATTTATCACATTTCACATGTAAACTACTGTTTGTTGTCATTTCACACAAAGGAAGACACAAAGAAACGAAGCTCCAACCAGAAGTGACAAAATAAGAAGACCAAACATGTTCTGGTGGTGTGAGATAAAAGAAACAGTAATGAAAATATACTAAGCCCAACATACTGAGGATAGAGACTCAAACAGGATGCTTCATTTTCACATTTCACACACTAAATTCAATCATTTGCTCAGAGGAAAACCAATTTTTAATATTGCCATTCTGACATAATAAAATTTTGATATTCTTTCTAGCTGTGGAAGACAGAGGCACAGAGAGACAATATGAATTCAACATGAACTACAAGAAGAACCTGGATGTCATCAGGTAAGAACGTCCTCACAGCAGGTGATCCCATTTAAGACCGACTCACTGAGCCTCGTGTCAGGGATGTTGTTTACAAAATTCATGTGAAAAATTCTGCGCAGGCCTTTTTTAAAAAAAATTTAAACTCTGCTCTAATTTTTTTTTTAGTTCTGAATTTATGTCATGTCTGTAGTTTTTTCTCAGCTTCATTAGGTGCTTATTTTCATTGGACAGGGATAAAATTTGTGTTAAACATTTTTCAAACCCTGGAGATAGTTTACAACAGCTGCTGCTAAAAAAAAGAAAAAGAAATGATTATCTTCAAAAAAAAAATATATTGCATGATGGAATAATTTAGCATCTTAGCATATTTTCCCATATAGCAACACTAAATATTCACCACCAGGTCACTAAACATGTCATTAAAATAAATGTCTTACAAAATGTTGATTAAAATGTCATAAAAACAGCAAAGCACAGTATGTCACTGAAAGTGTCAGAAAACTTAGTGTAAAGCAAATCGATGAAGATATGATTCAAATGTCAGAGTGTAACATGTTGTTTGAAATGCAGTCCAGACTTTATTATGTTAATGGCTATCATTGGAGATGTCACCACAACTACAAAGTAGAGTATGTAATTGAAAAATATCATTAAAACGGCCTATTATAACATGTCAATGAACATGTCATGAAATTGTGATTAAAAACGCTGAAGCATAGCATGTCGATGAACATTTTTTTAAAATGTCATAGTAAAGCATGTTGTTATAATTGTCATACAAACGTCACAGTATGCTATGTCATTGAATATATATTTTTAATGACATACTGTCACATCTGGCTGACATTTTTATCATCATGCTTTCCTACTACATATTTTTTTACATTTTCATCAACATGCTGTACTGTATTTTATGACATTTTCATCAACGTGTTATACTGTGGCTTTTTTAAAAAATCACAATTTCATAAACATGCTATACTATGACATTTTTAGTGCTATATTATGATGCTCTAATGGAATTATCAAGGACAGACTTTGTTATGATTTTGGTGACATTTTCATCAAAAGACCACACTACGACGATGACAAACTAGTCTTTGATGTTTTGATGACGTCTCATGAAATGCTCAATGACAATACTACCAAGACTTAATACTACGCTATGAAGGCAAATGGCATTATCAACAACATGCTATACTGTGCGATGTCTTAGTATAGACTCCTGTTGTAAATGTGATAACTACAACAACATCATTGTATACTATGTCGTTGAAAGTAGAATATGTCATACTCATGCATACACAAATGTAAACATTTGTATGACATTTTCGTCACATATTGTACACGGGATGCTGCCAACAAGTTTAAAGCTGAACCAGGAAAAGATAGAGTGTGAGTTTATTTTTCTGGGAACTTCCTGAGTCTGATAACAGATATCAGCCTTAATTCCGGAGCTTCCAGAATCTGGGTCAATAAGTAACTCTGAGCTTAGTTATGAAGCAACAGCTCTTTCACATCACTTCAGACATGGCAGCATCTTCATCTGCAGCGACTGGTGGCATCTTCGTGGTCACACATGTGATCCCAACACCTCCAACTGCTGGGGTCACACATGTGATCCCAGCACCTTCGACTGCTGGGGTCACACATGTGATCCCAGCACCTCCGACTGCTGGGGTCACACATGTGATCCCAGCACCTTCGACTGCTGGGGTCACACATGTGATCCCAGCACCTCCGACTGCTGCACCGCAGAACTGTCTGGAGAAAATCCAGTTCTCTAGAGGCCAACTGGAGGCACTTGGGGTGAGAAGTACAGCAGACTATTTACTGTGAGACCGTTTAAACTGTTGTTTCTGAGCTGTATTACTTGTATTGTATAGCTTGTATTGTAATTCACGGTTTTACTGTAGACGGTGCAGATCATGATCGGCCTCGTGATCTTCCTCTTCGAGCTCACCATGCTTTCATCTCCTGACACTTTGGGGATTGTTAGCGGCGCCTTCGTCTGGGGACCTTTGGGTGTGAGTTAACAGACAACAAATCAGTCTGCAACTGTAATCAGATCACTGTGTCAGCTCAAATATCAGAATATATGAGAAATGTGGGAGTTGTCTTGTAGCTAATTCGATACAGAACATAATCTGTGAGTTCTGAACTTTGGACTCTCATTTCTAATCTCAGGTCCTTGTATTCAGTTTCAAATCTTGAGTTTTTGGTCTCAAGTCTCTAGTCTGTGACATGTGGTTCTCTAACCTCAAGTCTCTAAACTCTTGAGGCTGGTTTCTGGTCTCAAGTCTGTAATCTTTAGTTTTTGGATTGTAATCTCTAATTAATCTCTTCCCAAATGGATATTTCCTCAACTAGACTCTCTGGTCTTCACTCAGTGGTTTCTGGTCTTTAGTTTCTAGTCTCTAACTGGTAGTTTCTGATCTTTTGTTTCTAGTCTGTCATGTGCAGTTTCTAGTCTTCACTCAGTGGGTTCTGTTCTCTTTCAGTTTGTCACAGCTGGATCTGTGACGGTGGCTGCTGGGAGATTGATGAATCGCTCTCTGGTCAGTAAGTCATCAGTATACTTAACACCTGCTGCTCAGGTGTTTGTCTGAGGCAGGTGCACATTACAGTAACTCATGGTTTGTAGGTGCTCTAACTGGCCTTTGTTTGCAGGTAAACGCTGCTCGGAGCACCAACCTTATTGCCGTTTTTGCATCAGGAGCTGCTACTGTCATTTACTCTCTGGATGTTTATGGCTTTTTTCAATATGGCGGGATTAGTGCTCAGGAGGTAAGCAGATCACAGTCCAGAATCCTGCTGCTCAAACAAGAAGGCAGCTCACTTACAGAGAACACCTGAACAGGTGAGTCAGCACGCTTCTTACCACAACCTACCATTCTCTCTCTCTCAGAGTCAAGGTCGGATTTCAGCTGTTTTCTGCGGACTGTGTGTCTTGGAGTTTCTCGTCTCCATCAGCACCATCCTGTTCACCTGCAGAGGCTCCCATCAGGCCACACCTCAGGTGAGTCACACCTGAAACATCAGTGGAGTACAGGAGAGATTTTAACACCTACAGACATTATTGTCCTTTGTTTTTTGTCAGGAGCCAATCATCATAACCAACCAATTACCGCAGAGGACAGAAGCCCCACCCACATACGAAGTCCCACCCACAAGTGAAGCCCCACCCACCACACAAGCCCCACCCCCTACAGACAGTGCCTATGAGGTGTGTTATTGCGGTCATCTGACAACACATACCCCTGTCAGGTTCTGTTGTACTTCATGGTGTGTTGTTTTTGTTTACAGGAGATGAAGCCTCCACAGTATGACACCACAATAATCTGATCTCATCATTCTCACTGACTCCACCCTCTCCTCACTGAGTGAGAATACTCAGTTTGGACAGTAATCGGGTGTATTTACTCAAGTACCTTAATAAGCACACATGTTAGTTACTTTACTTGAGTAGTTTTGTGTCTTTCTACTTCATTCTTGTACTCTTCTACAGTTGTATTTATTTCAAAGTTTACTAACTAGCTACTTTACTGATACATGTTCAGTTTATTAAATATAATGTTGCAAATTAAACAAAAAAATATATAAGATGTTTTAAATGCTTCATTTACTTTGACAAAGTTAGAATTATGTAATAATGGATCAGTCATAATATTCAGACAATGTATTTCATTAATATAAAACTCTTTCGTAATAAAAACTTTGACGTTTTGGCTCTTTAAGTACATTTATTATTCTGTTTTTAAAAATAAATAAATAAACATTAACATTTTGGGGAGTTGAACTTGTAATGGAGAACTTTATTGCTACTTTTCTTGAGTAATGGATCTCAATACTTTTAGCACATAAATAAAGCTTTACGTTGATTTAATTCTTCAGTGATCAGAACGCTGTCACTTTTTTAATCAACTTTACTGTGTTACTGTGTAAAATATAATAGAATTCTAAATAAATAAAACTGGCATGTACACTGTGTGACTCTATGAATGATTCAGGCTTCATTCATTGAGTCATTTCATTTCTTGTTTTATTGTGTTAATCTTGTTGCTTTGTGTTTTTTTGTGGTTGTGTGTCCCAATAAAAGAAAACAAGCTGTAAAGTCATCTGTTGCATTGTTTAAAAAAAAAAAAAAATACTGAGAAACTGAATCATAAAGCTGCTCAACAACATTAGCAAATATGTGGACAGAACTAAAAGTCAAAGGTTCCTGAAAATCTGCTGAAAATCTGGACAAAAACAAAAAGATTAATTTGCTATAAATTGCAATTTATAACTGTGTTAGTCAGAAGACAAACAGCAGCCAATGTTTGAATAGGTTTTAAAGCTTAAAATTCATAGAACAAAAATCATTAATCACAGGAATGAATTCACTGTTCATGTAAAACCAGGGACTAGCCAGCAAGAAGTGCTGTTTAAACACATTTAAATCGGTTTGTTTCCCTTTCCTGTGTCAGATGGTTTTTACTGTTTTTCAGAAACACGTCAAAGAGTTCAGGAATCTGAGTTCAGAGCTGCTCATTAAACTGAGAGAAGGACGTCTGGGGTATTTTGGGGGATTTTAGTGGACAGTTTCCTGAATGTCTTTAATGTTTAACAAAGTTTAGTCCTCTAATATCTGAAGAAAGAATTGATTCTACTAAACCTGTAAACCTAAAATAAACACTTCCTTCCTGAAACATTTCTGATTTGAATCAGTCCAACAGAGTTGATTAAAAACAATGGTTCATGATAAAATTACACAATAAAAGCTAAATCAGGAGATAAAAACAAATCCGTCTCAGTTTTCAGCCAGACTAAAGGGGGATTTATGACTCTTGCTTGTGTTGTTGAGCTTTCTGCATATGTACAGTGAAGGATTATGGGTATTTTAGGAGGACTGGTCATTTTTGTATTTCTTTTCCACTGAAACAAATGAATGATGATGTGATTTTTGCTCAAGTCTGTCCCAAACAGTTGTGTTCAGGTTTCTGCGGGCTGAGCTGTGACTTCAGTGGGGTCCAGGTTGTGGTCTGGACAGTCAGATCTGAGGCCTGACCAGATCAAATACATAAATCTCTGTAGTTGGTGTCCTGAGGAAGTGCTGGTCTTCTTGTTCTGATGCAGACTCTTTCGATGGCAGCAGACTCAGTAGGTCATTCCATTCGTCTCTCTCCCTGCAGAGTTTTCCACCTTCCTCCTGGAGGACCCTGAGTTGATCCCAGGCCAGAAATGTGATCCCTGCAGAGATCCCTGGGTCTCCTCCCAGCTGAAAACCTCCAAAGAAAGGGGGACCCTAATCAGATGTTGAACCTCCTCAGCTGGATCCTGTGAAGAAGCAGTGACTGCTCTGAAGTCCCTTCAGATATCTCTCATTTTAGCTTGTATTTCATTTTTCAGTCTCTACTCAGAGTTCATGACCACAGATGAGGGGTGGAACGTAGATCAACTGAGCAACTCATTGGGAATCAGATCCAGAGACACTTACACTCCTTTATTTGAGGCAGCAGCTCTCTCTAACTCAGAGGGAGCAGTCCAGTGGTTTCCAGGAGAGAACCATGGCCTCATGCTGGGAGCTACTGACTCATCGTGGCTGCAAACCTGAAGGTCTGATGAAGCCAACAGAAGCTTATCATCTGCAAAAAAAAACAAAAAAAAACAGAGACTCTGAGGTTCCCAGAGTCTCTGGTCTGTAACATACAACTTATTCCACCATGTTGTCACAAGTGGGTCCAGCTGGTGTCACATGTCCGCTGTCTTCCATCTGACTTAATAAGTTAATGATGAGGTGAGCTGAACTGCAGCCAGAGCAAACAAAGTGTGTTTTAGTGAGGTGAATTTCCTCCTTCACATCAAGGCCTGCAGAGAGAAACTTGGATGACGAAGCAGTTCGTTTGTCAATAAGTAACTCTGAGCTCAGTTATGAAGCTGCAGCTCTTTCACATCACCTCAGACATGGAAGTATCTTCATCTACAGCGACTGGTGGCATCTTTGTGATCACACACGTGATCCCAGCAGCTCCGACTGCTGCATCGCAGAACCGTCCAGAGAAAGTCCAGTTCTCTGGAGGCAGACCGCAGGCACTTGGGGTGAGAAACACAGCAGATCATTTACTGTGAGACACTTCATTAAAACTCAGCCTTGAGACTGTATGTATGTAAGTATCTCACCTGTTACCTGTTGCCCCAGCAGACGGTGCAGATCCTCATTGGACTGGTGGTCCTCTTCTTTGGGCTCATCCAGCTTCCATACAGCCATGCTTTGGAGATTTACAGCGGAGTCTTTGTCTGGGCAGCTCTGACGGTGAGTCTGTTCAAGTGGTGAATAAAGAAACTGTTAGAGAGCAGGAGTTTCAGTTTTTTAAAGAAGAAAGCAAAGATAGAACCCAAAAAATGAATCATTACGTTAACAATAAACAACTTCTAAAGCACATATCCAAGAGAATTCAGGAAATATGTTGCTGTACCATTTCAGATGTATTTCTCTTAAAGTTCATTCATCTGTTATTTGGGACCCAAAACTAGGTTCTGTAAAATATTTTGGTTGAATATTGGGAACTTCATGTTTTCAGAGCTGTCCCCAGAAAGTTCCTGTAAGTGTATACATATGGATGTATCCATATTTCCTTCTAAAAATACAGTCTTTGGTCGACACTTCACTAACTTTTGAGACCTCTAACATGAGTAGAATTTGATGTGTGGAAAGCATGACCAGACCAGGTTCCAGTTTTTAGATCTTTTGACTAACTGGTGTTCGTAGGGGTTTATATGTTGTCATTATATGTGCTAAGTTATGAACTGCTTCCATGTTGTCTTCATGTGGAAATTTAACAACATATGAGGCTGTTTTTACTGTATGTTCATATACAGATACTGAAAATGAACACTGAACAGAGAAATGGTTGATACACACATATGAATAAATCTCATATTTATTACAACACGTCGTGGCATTGAAATTTTTGACTAAAAGATTTGGCGTGATTTTTTGAGGGTGAGAAACAACAAAAAACTCTGAAAACAACCTGAGACAGTGGACGAACACCAATATCTGTAATGAACGTGTTGAGCTGCTCACCTGCAATCACCTGACTGTGTTTTCCTGCAGTTCATCACAGCTGGATCTGTGACAGTGGCTGCTGGGAGGTTGTCCAGCCGTCGTCTGGTCAGTACCTCATCATCACCATATGAAATACCCGCTGCTCAGGTGTGCTCACCTCTGTTTGCTCTGCAGGTGAAAGCAGCTTTGGGCCTCAGTGCTGCTGCTGCTGTAATTTCAGCTGCTGCCACCATCATCTACTGTATGAATGCCATCATTTCTCACAGTGGTGTCTATTATCGAGAACCTATCAACTGCTGCTGGTTCAATGGAAGTTATTACAGTTGCTGCTATGATTGGGAAAGCTATTACATTGATTGGGTAAGACATTTTAGTTTACTGGATCCACTCACGTTTGATCAGCTAGGTTTCTCTGCAACTAATTACTGCACATGTGATTTTTAAAGTGGGTCATTTCACAGCTCCTCCAGAGGCTCAGCAGAAACTACATTCAGGAGTCGACTCCGGGGACGTTTTGATTAGAGTCTCATTGTTTCTTTCCAGGTTCCCGCTGTAGGAGTTTCCTGTGTTCTAGCTGTGTTCTCCTTCCTGGTGCTCATTGTCTCAGTCCGTATCGCCATGTTTGGCTACAGAGCCTTAAGTCATTCCACAAATCAGGTGAGTCCAGGTGAATCTCGGTGTAGCATCTTCTTCCTGTGGTTCTAACATCAAACCTGTCTTCTGGCCTTTCAGCCACCAGTCATCATGATCAACCAACTGCTTGAAGCTGCATCACAGACACCAAAGCCCATGCCCACATACGAAGCCTCACCCACCCCAACATATGAAGTACCACCCGCCCCAGAGGCCCCACCCCCATCAGAAGACAATTATGAGGTGTGTTATGACGGTAGGAGGTCACGTGACTAAATGTAGAAAACAAACACAGTCAGGTTGGTGTCCTGTTATTAAGACTCTATTGTTGCTCTTCACAGAGACTGAAACCTCCAGAATATGACACCAACATGGTCTGACCCCATGTTCTCTGCTTTCTGAAGAACATCCCAGAGAACCAACATCACAGAGAACCAACAAACATCAAACAGAACCGGCAAACAACAGAGAACCAGCAAACATTAGAGAAAACCAGCAAATACTACATATAACCAGCAAGTATTAGAGAGAATCAGCAAATATCAGATAGAACCAACAAACATCAGAGAGAACTCATTTTCAGTGTGTTTATGTGCAGTGAATGTAATTTATGTTACTTAAATGGTCTGAGACTGATGAAAAATACGAATATATAATAAATAATAATACATTTTATTGTTTGTTTTTATACAGGTGTTTCTATTGTGTATGTGTGGAGCTGAACGGTTAAAGGTCAAGAAGGGAACATTTTCATTTCAATGTAGAAGATGTTTAGAGTGTGACAACGCTAAGTATCTGAACTGTGGTTTTGTCTTTTTCTGTCATTTTCTGCAACCAATATATCACATCTGTGAAATTGTGCTTTGAATTATCGGAGACATATCTGAGATCTAGGATGGGAATCACTAGGTCTACAGGGAACACTGGGAACACGAGTCGAGCAGAGGGCTGTACTACGAAGCGGAATTAGTAGGTTAGTGAGGTATGTTGAGCATAAAGCCAGAGTTTTCAGTGTCACAAAGGTGGCTCTCTTTTTACCTGCTAGATCTCCATGGTAGCTGATACTGTGGAGCTAAACTGCTCAGGAGCAGGTTATGTTCAGAGTTTTGGATTTAAATCAGCTGGAAAGAGTGTCTCCCTTTAACCAAAGCATTTCCTGACTATTATCTATAAGCGATACAGATTCTCAACTGAGGGAATGTGTTTTATCTGCAAACATGCTGAGTTGTGCGTTACTAATATCACTGAATAAAGCCGTGTAGTTACAGTATCACACACTGTATGCATTGTGTTGTCATTGGAACCTGACACGTATTTAGTTGACGATGCAGAAATCATATAAATATGTTTCTATGTTTGGCTCTGATTTGCTGTCAAGTCTGTTTACATGCTGATACTGCAGCTGATAAAACAGATTAGAACATGGATTATTCTACTGGTATTTATTACAGAGAATATTCAATCAGTAACATTAATTTCACTCTGATTTGGCTAAAAACTAAATTGATATCCTGCATTATGGCACAGTGTTAGACCTAAATGCACTTCAATACAATATCATGTTTAAATATATCAAGTCTTAAGTTTAACCTTTAACGTGCAGCTGTCAGTTAGAAATAAGTGGCAGCATCGGTATTGCAGCATTTGCAGTGGTGGCACTTTTTGCTGTCATTTTTCTTTATATTCCTCATTGTTCTCCATTAGAACAACATGTTGACTAAAGCAGGTGCACACGATCGTTTCATTTAGTGCAGAAGAAGAGTCACGTAAACGCCTCCTTTTACGTGTACGAGAAGAGAGTTTGAAGCAGAAAGTCTGAGTTGACAAAGAAAGTTGACAACCACCTTCGTGATACCTGTTATCTCTGACTGGGTCTGTTGTTTCTGTCGAGCCGGTTACACAAAGAAAGCCCAGCTATGTCAAACTTGCTTTGTAGTATACCCCTCTGAAGTCTAAACTTGTCAAAAAACATAATGCGGGAAAATCACAGCAACCAGACACAGTCAAAACCATGGTCATTCAACTGTATCAGTTTGGAATAAACCATAACACACAAACAGAACCACTACAGCAGCAGGTTCAGGTATTTTACCAACCTAAACCCAGACCCAAACCAAAACCAAGTCAGAACCTTCAGCAACAGTGAGTCATAAAGCAATAACTGAAAACGAATTTATTCAGTAAAGACGATTTATTTCTTAAAAACTTTCCCTTCTGATGTCAACACAGAAAACAGAGAAAAAACAGAAGAGGACAGAAAGTGACAGGAAATATTTACAGTTATTGATCAGTCAACTGTTCTTGATCAGTCGGCTGTTATTGACTAGTCAGGGATCACACTCTGCAGCTGCTGTCAGCATAATCAGATTTTCTGTTTGAGCAGTAACTAGGAACTACAGACTTCAGTAACCAATGAAATCTGTCATTACCAACTAAAGTCTCCCACACAGATTGCTACAGAGTCCTGGAAGCACCAAAATTAGTGAGACAACAAAAAAGAGATTGCTGAGCCAAAAAGATGTCCCACTCTGTTTAAATTCTACTGAGATATAAAAATTGAAGTAACTCTGACCTTTCAGGTTAATGCAGCAACAAGAGAGAGACATGCCTTACCTGGTCTGATATAAACATAGATTATGTAGTGAGATAAATAAAAAACAAAGATAGGTGTATATGCTAAAGATATACCACTCTGTTTAAATTTAATCATACGTAAAAACAGGAGTGCCAAAGACTGGATTGTAAAAGAAACCTCACTCTGTTATACGGAAATTGAGTTCGGTATCCAAATAAAGATAAGCATGTTTAGCAGATGGTTAAATTCTAGTGAGATATAAAGTAATTCACAGGTGAGTTTTATGGATAGGAGTGTAGGAACGCTTGATTACGTAAAACAAGATATACTACGATACAAAATGGTGTGTATAAAGTTCATATTGTCTCCTGGTAATGTAGTTTCACTGTTTTCTAGTTAATATAAAATAAAGCTGTTTGTCATTTTATGTGACATAAACATTCATAATGAAGCTTATTCCACTCTCTGGTTACAAACAGAGATAGGAGTGTGAGTCCATGTTTAACTCTGTAGTATACTGATGTATAAAAATAGATAACATAGTGAGATGTAGAAGAAGACGTACAAGTGAAAGGTTAGAACGTCACTTTGTTCATTTGTTAAAGAACTTCTTGTTGAGGAGGAATATGAGCAGATTAACATTGACTTTCGCCTTATCAAACATCTTCATCACTGCCACGCCCTCATACTGCAGCTGCAGCAGATCCTGCAACACACACACAAAACACTCTGGTTCATATTGATTTAACTCACGATCTGGCCCGCTTTGGCTCAGTATCTGGCCTGGTTCGTACCTGGTATTTGAGTTTGAACTCTTCCATCTCAACTCCGAGGAATCGAGCTTTGATATTGAAGGTTCCTTTTTCAGCTGCAGGAACGATGTCGAAGACAACGTTCTTAAACCTGAAACGGTAAAAATTGGAACAGTTCAGAACTTGAAAAAAGAACATATGACAACATGTGTTAGCACCTGTCCTAAGTTCTCCCTGAGTGAGCTCAATGTTCTTTCCAAGTGTCCTGTGTTCTTACTGTGTAGCCGGCAGCTCTTCAATCTCCAGCAGAACTCCCTTCTCCTGCAGCCGGGCGCCGCTGTAGCTCAGAGCTGGAAGCTTCTTCTTTCCTTTGTTGTCTGTTGTCTTCTTATTGGTTGATTTACTGCAATGTAAACAAGCCACAGTGTGTGAGAGCCAATCATATCAGTTCATTAACATCTGTAGGACCATGTGAGTTAATGTGAGGACATGTTGGACAGTCCTGGGCACACATGTTGGTCCTCACACAGTCACACAGACAGGAGTGTGTGTTGATTTGAGAAAGTGTTGGACAGTTCTGTTATTGCTGTATGTTAATGATGGTCTTCACACAAACAAACATGAGTGTGTGTGTGTGTGTATGTGTGTGTGTACCTGTTGGCGGTCAGGTTGTCAAGACAGGATGTGATGTAATGTCTGTAGTAGTCCACCTGTTCGCTGTGGAAGCTGCTCTTAACCTGCAGGCTGCTGAGCGTCTGACGGAGCTTCAGAAGCTCCGCCCCCCGGCGCTGGCGGTGCAGACGCTGCTGACGAATGTCCTGTGGACCAAACACCTTTATTATACTGTAATATACAACACTATTACTACTACATTATTTTACTGTATTGATATATGTCTTATACTACGTGTATTGTATTATTTTACTGTATGAATATGATATATGTATTATACTATAACATTATATTCCTAAACCACAGTGACTGAAGTCGCCTCTACCAGGAACTAAAATCAGAACAGAGGCATCACCTTGGCGATCATCTGCAGGATCTGGTTCTCACTCTGCGGCGCTCTCAGGACGCCAAGTCCCTCCAGACGACGAAGACTCCGCAGAATCTTTCTCTTCTTCTCCTCCAGACTCAGGTTGCCATTGGCGACCAGCGACTGGTTTCTCTTCATCTTCTCAGGTGTTCGAGCGTCCTGCCGCGCCCGCCGTTGCACCAGCCAATCATGGCACACTTCCTGTTGAAATAGTTCAGGTCATAGGTGAGACAATAAACATGACAGCAGGTCAGAAACATTCCTTGTGTTGGTGAGTTTGTGTTACTTGGTCAGGTGAGGGCGTCGTTCTCAGGATGTTACTCAGAGAGTCACCTGACTGAGTCCTGATGACGTCAATGATCAGTTGCTTCGTGCTGCAAAAACAGTAAAACAGGACTGAAAGCTGTTTGAAATGACAACAGATCTAATAAGGAGAGGTTAACATGCTAAGCTACCTGAGCAGCAGAGGTTAACATGCTAAGCTACCTGAGCAGCAGTCCTCTGGCATCTGGTTTGTCATTGTCGTCGCTGAAGATGTCGAACTTGTTGGTGAGCGTCAAAGAGACTTCGGTCTTACAGCTCTGAGACTCTGATCCTGGATCAGCAACTGTTGTGGACTCTCCTGAAGCACACAAACACAGATTTAGCCTGACTCAGGAACAGAACCAAAACCACAGACAGAACAGAACCTAGAAATATATCAGCTGTAGTACCACTGAGGTCCTGCAGGGTGGGGACTGGCCCCAGGTCTTTCAAGATCAGTCTGAGAGGGTCAGATGGGTCCGGACACAAAACCCCCTGATGCTCCAGCAGCAGCTGCAGAGACACAGAGAGATGGATATATCAGATAGAGTTCTAAACCAGGTCCTGATTCTGGTTCTGGTGCAGTGTTTCTGACCTTGTGAGTGTTGAGCAGCTCGCTGACAGAGATGTAAACAACAGGTCTGTTGACAATCAATAACTCAGAGAACTCGTCCACATTGAATCTGTCCTCTGGTTCAGGAACATCACAGACTGACTGTAGGAACCTCCTAAAGACCAGAGAAAACAGAACAGTCAGGAAAATCTCCTGAAGATCAAAGTAAAGTCAGGTTTTGTCCTCAAATATCTTGTTTTGTCCAAAGGTATTCCGTATACTGTCAGAGGAAAGAAACCAGACAATATTCACATTTAAGAAACTGCAATCACAATTTTAGACAGTTATTATTTAAAAAAATACTCAAACTGATTAATTGATTATCAAAGAGGAGAATTAATTGATCAATTGTTGCAGCTCTATGCAAAATGAACACAAGTAGATGCAAAACAACTGCAAACATGAAATCATAACTTCACAAAGACAAAACCAATAAAAGAGACATAAATTCATGGCTGCAACTAACGATTATTTTCTGTCATTGATTAGCTGTTGTCAGTGTTGATCAGTGTTTCCCAAAGCTCTCTGACAGACTGATGAGGTCTAAGCTGATCACAGACCTGAACTTGCTGTGCGTCTGGCTGATGTACTGGTTCAGGGTTCTGACATGGTATCCGTCTCCGTGGAACAGTTTGTTGGCGGCGGCGTGCTGCAGCATGCGAGCAATGGAGCCCAGAAGGTGGCGCTGCTCTGGCTGCAGCACTGAGCCTGCAGAGCGATCCACCACGTCGAAGCCGTCTGGTGCCACCACGGCTGGGTTCATATATCGGTAGTAGACCAGGTTACCGACGATCTGAAGGGAGCAGCATCAGGTTAAATCCTCACAGATTCACAGAACTACAGCTGACAATGTTTAACTGTTACTATCATATAGTTTGTGGAAAAAAATACTGCTTTTTTCCGTTTCTCTGACAGAAAACTATATTTAGGCAAAAAGGGGGAAAAAAAAGTCCTTTAGTTTCCACATGATGCACTCAGTTGTGATAAAAATGGAGGACAGATTTATTAAATACAAACATTTAATTTCTGAACTGGTGGTAACTTGGGGAAAAAAAACTGTAAAACCAGTACTGTTGCTTCTCAACCTGGTGTATTTACCTTGTAGAGATCATCCTCACTGGCATCAGGAAACTTCGCCTTCAGGGTGTCTCTGAGCACCTTCGCTGTGTAACGGAGACCGTAACTACAACAAACAAACAATGAAACGCATAAACGATGAAACAGATAAACAACAAATAATCAGGTTTGTATACAGGTGGGAACCAGCGGTAGTTTGTATACAGAAGGAGACTTACGGTAGTTTGTGGAGGTTGGAGGTTATGGCTTTGAGGACTCTGTCCGTCAGGTTTTTCAGGTTGATGATAGCGATGTCAATGCGTCTCTGAACTTCAGGGTGAGACAGAGCATCTTCAGGAGAAACCTCGTAGGGCAGAGAGCTGCAGAGACAGACAGGTGAGACAAGTGTGTCACTCACAGACCTATAGGTTTTCAGCTGAACCTGTTTGTTAGTTTCCTCTTCTGACCTCTTGGTTCCAGTCTGGGTCTCGGTCTGGTTGATCCAGGTCTTGTAGACGTCCACCGGGTCGGTCCTGATGCTGAGGGTCCGGTCCAGCAGGACGTCCTGCAGAGCTGGACCCAGCGCCTCCCGCAGGGCGTTCTGACCGCGAGCGTGGCGGTAAAAGTTCACCAACATCTTAATGACAGTGGGATTCCCAGTGACCACATCCTGAGGCTGCTCCACCTTCAGTCTGACATAAGCACACACACTCAGTGATAACAGCACACACACAGAAAACAGAGTGACATCATCGTGCAGGTACACAGTGACATCACAGTACGTTACCGGATCTCATATCGGAGTGCCTCCGTGAACAGCTGCAGAAGCAGGTAGGCCTCCCTGCGGCCAGAGCCGTAGTTAAACAGACTGAACACCAACATCTCCATGAAGGAGTTGGAGCGACTCTGAGGCATCAGGAAGATCACCTGAGCCAGGTATAGCGGCTGCGTCTGAAAAACACAAACATACACAGTGTCGCTTACCCCAACACAACTGCAGCAGGTAGAACAGGTGTATCTGTGTTACCTGTAGTAGGTAGAACCAATATGTTGGTGTTACCTGCAGCAGGTAGAACAGGTGCTGGTAGGCCTCCAGTCTCTCCCTCCTGTCACGGTTCAGTGCCTTCAGTCCTTTACTTCTCTCCACGTCCATCATGTCTGACAGCTGCTCCTTGTTCTTCTTGGTCAGTTTCTTACAGTGAGACACCACTTCCTGTTCAGAGAGATGGAGGCAGAGCTTACACCTGAACAAGGCAGGCTAAAGGACTAGGTTTGGGTCTGAGATTCTTTAGGGGGTAGGGGTTCTAGTCAAGGTTTGGATCAGGCTTGACCTGGGTTTCTCTAGGGGACTGGGTTCAGGTCTGGGTTCTGGGTTACGTTCCTTACCTGCAGAGTGGCTCTGTTGCGGACCAGCAGGCCGATCTTCAGGTCCATCAGGTCCAAGTCGGCCTCCAGCTGTCGGTTGAAGCGAATGCTCCTCACCACCTCCTCCCTTAGTCGTAGAAGCTCTGCCTCCTCTCTGATGTCACCATCACCCAAGTCAAGCAGGTGAACGAACTTCTTGACCACGGACAGCGGGGGTGTGGCCGAGTGCACTGAGACAGGAAAGCGGAAGGGGCTTATTAATGACACAGGCCAAACGAATGGCAGCATAATTAAAGTCATCTCATTATTTCACTAAGTCATGATGCAGTTTGACTAATCAGAACTAGCGCCTCGTTAGTGACCTCACCCAGCATCCTGTATTCCTCTCGAGCTCTGTTGGCTCTGAAGAAGGCCTGGATCTTAATGACAGCACCCACCTGTGGACACACACAGTTACTACACACTGATGCTGATGCTGAAGCATCAGATTCTGTAACACAATCGTATAACCACCAGTGTGCCGTTCTGTACAGCACTTGGTTATGTGTAACAGGGAGAACAGTCTGAAAGCACATTTTTTCCCCACAGTTTTTCTAAACAGAGTGACTAAAACAACAGGAGATGACTGAGAGAACACTCAAATTTAAACAGATTGAATGTGTTTAAATATTGTTAGGAGAGACATCAGCAGGACTCACGTTACGTCTGAAGAAACTCAGTCGAGCTCGATATTTTCTCTTCACCAGCCACATCCTCACCATCGACTGGATCTGTTCACAAACATCACTGATGATCCGTAAACTCAAAGAAGTGCTGAAACACTGCATTAATTCATCTCACTATATTTTAGTTTTTTTGAGTTTGAAATACACCATCTTTTTTCCTCCTCTGACGGAAGAGATCTGGATATTTTATACACGTGAAAATCTATAATAAGATTAGAGAAAAAAAACTTGAACAAAAAAAAGTTACACATAAAAGTAAACTACAGACAGAAGTTCAGGCTTAAAATATAGGTGGGGTTCAAGTATTGGTACAAAGCGTTAAAACAGCAGTAGTTACCTTGACGACAGCTCTCCAATTCATGTAAAGGAACTGCAGCCGCCGCCGGTATGCTCTCTGTTGGACATACCTCCTCCACTGAGCCTGAACACAGATCAGAAACGATTGGACACGACTGTCTCACATATGGAAATAATAGACTCACCTGCGGTCAGCCTCAGACCTCTAACGGGCAGCAGTGCCCTCACCTGAATGACGACGACGGCAGGTGTCTGGCTGACCAGGTAACGCTGTCGAGCCTCCTGCTGCCGTCTGATCAGGAACCCTCGACTCAGAGCCTGAAGGCGAATGATGAGGGCTTCACTGCTCTGCCACAGGACACTGCGACTGTAGGATGCCGAGATGCTGCGGACCACTTCCTGCAGGGGGACATCATATGTCATATGATGTCACAAGACAAAACTGCTGACCAAGAACAGGCAAGGAAGATCTCTTTTCTTTGTCTGAAACAGAAACTTTCAAAGCACAGAAAGGAGACTCCAAATCATTTTAGAAATCGTCAGGTGTTTCTCTGGTGGAGCGTACCTGTATCTCCTGGTGGTCGATGAAGACACTGTTGTGTATGAATCCATTGGGTCTGTCCCAGCTTCCCTCCAACCTGTTCAGGTTAAAGTAATACCAGGATCCATCCTGCAGACGAACTCGAACCCATGGACTCCTGTTGTCTCCTGAAACCACAGAAACCTAAAGTCAGCTGTTACTGTGTGGAGCCCAGAGAGAACAGGTGACCCTGACCATCACACACCCTGAGCACCTGTGTGTCTCACCTGTGTGCATCCTGTGTGTCATCAGGGCGTTCAGCTCTCTCTGATACTCTGTAGCACAGTCAGGTAAAACTCCTTGCAGCTCCACTTCAGGTAGAGACAGAACTCGCAGAGTTTGTTTCTTTTTGTTCTCCTTCACTGCCTGGTTCACAGCTGCCACCGACAGACACACTGACACACACATAATCAATACCATTAATCAATACATCAATACTGACACAGAGAGACACACTGATATACACATAACCAATACATCAATACCATCAATCAAGTAAAAGTAAATGTTTCATTTTTTCTTCTCATTTCATCTGGAATCATAAGTTCAACTGCAGTTATGAGTTAAAATTATTCTTTTTCACTCATGACTGCCTTTTTTGATTCCTTTTAAACATTTTAGGTTTCTAAAAGCTTTTTCCAGGAAGCGATGCTATTTTTTTTTTCTCCAAACACACCTTCAAGTGAGGATGCTGATATCTGACTAGAGTTTAGTGAGAAAGACAACCATGTTCTACATAAAACATATAATGAAACATGTAACAGACACATGCTGTATGTGGCATCAGCAGCAGTGCAAAATCTGCAGTTTTCTAACTGGACTTTGGTGTGGAGCTGCTTTCTCAATCATTGTCTGATCCAAGCCCCTTATAACTGAAAAAGTTAAATCATGTGACTCACACTTCAGAGCTTTCTGACTCTGCTGATTGGCTCTCCTCACAGCTTCCTGGATATCAGCCAACCACAGCTCAGCTCCCGGGTCTTTGCTAACCTGATTGGACAGAAGGAGGACGTGTGACTTCAGGTTTAAAGCTCAGAAAGTGATGATGAACATTAGAGATTAAAATGACTGTTTAATTGTGAATGTTGAAAGTGTGGTTACTGATCACTGTTCATCTGCGTGGATTCACCTGTATGGATTAACCTGTGTATTGTTGCGGTGCCTGTGAATATTCTAACAGGCATACAAAAATATTCTTGCCCCCTGAAAGTTTTCTGCTTTCAATGCTTTTCAATAGTAGATTATGGTCAATTTAATTTGACTCTTTGGACAAACATTTACAAAAAAAGACTCTTTCATGTCAAAGTAAAAACAGATTTCTACAATGTAATGACAATTAATTGAAAAGATATCTATATGTAAAATAAGTGATTTCGTAAGTTTTCACCCCCCTTCAAAGCGATTCACTTAATTGCTAGAAGTCACACAGTTAGTGAAATATAGATCATCTGAGTGCAGTAAATGTGTCTCAGTGATTGTAGTATAAAAACATTAGCTGCTTTCACAGTGGCTAATGCTACGCTAAAAGCTAGTGAAAACAGAGTCTGGAAAACAATAAGATATAATCCTTTAGGATCTGGACCTCAGTGGGCAATAAAAGTGACAGAAAAGAAAAAATTAACAAAACACTGAGGAACAGCAGACAGAACTTTAGGAGGCAAACAGCTACTGATCTCAATGAACTGATTTTACACTAAACAGGAGAGCATTGTAGTGTTGTTCTCGAATTATTAATAATGAAAACTCACAGCAGTGAATCCCTATTAAAAAGCAAGTCAGGGGATGGATAATGAAGTCACTGAATATCTTTTGGAGTCCAGTTAAATCCAACATTAAGAAATGGAAGTATTTGGCACATGTGTAAATGTGACTAGAGCAGGTCGTCCTCAAAAACTGAGTGACCGAGCAAGAAAGAGAAGAGTGAGGGAGGCCACCATGACACCTTTGAGTCCTCTGAAGGTGTTACAACAAAGAGACGAGTGGGGAATTCCACCAAGACAGCTATGACTCTTCTGAAAGAGTTAAAAGCTTCAGCAGCTAAGACGGGAGAAAGTGTTCATACAAAAACTGTTGGCTGTTCTTCACTAGTCTTGTTTAACTGTAAACTAAATTTTATAATTCATCCTACATCCACCCAACCGGTCGAGGCAGATGGCCGTCCCTCCCTGAGCCTGGTTCTGTCTGAGGTTTTTTTTCCCCTGTGGGGGTTTTCAGTTCCTTCCCACTGTTGCGGACTGCTTTCAGACTGCTGAAGCTTATAGGGAATCCAAATGTTTTGGATTGTTGGGTGTTTCTGTCTCTGCCTTTGTTAAGCGCTATGAGATGACTTGTTGTAAATATGCGCTATACAAATAAAATTGAATTGAATTGAATGGTCAACGCTTTATGGGAGAGTGACAAGGAGAAAGACACTGTTGAATAAAGCTCAAATTAAATCTGGACTAGAGATCACCAGAGGGCATGTGGGAGACTCTGAAGTCATCTGAAAGAAGGTCCTTTGGTCTGCTTAGACCAAAATGGAGCTTTTTATCCATTGGGCTAAGTGACTACTCTTTATAGACACTGTACCTGTGCGGTTTTACCTGTTTATATTTACCTGTGCTTTGTGCTGCCTGGCTCTGGTCAGCAGGGTCAGGTATCTGCAGGCGTTGGCAGGTGTAACCTCGTCCACACCACAGGTGTGCAGCAGCAGAGCAGACAGCAGCTGCTGGACGTCTCCTCTCATCACAGCTTGGTTGATCACACCAACAGCCAAAAGCTCTACAGAGGTCATACAGAGGTCACACACTGTGTGATATCTACAACAACAATATGACATGTTGTTGTAGTTTATGTTTACGTACGCTGGTGTTCGTCCTGCGCTGAGATGTTGACAGTGTTGATTCCTTCCTGCAGCTGATTCCAGTTGAGCAGATCTCGGCCCACCTGCTGCTTCACACCAACCAGACACTCAAAGTACCTGCAAGAGTGACGCCATCAGTGACACCACAGTCAGGTGTAGGACACTGACAGTCAGGTGTTCAGTCGTACCTGTCCAGCAGGTCGTGGTCTACATCAGAGAGTCCTGCAGATGGAGTGATCAATGAGGAGCTGAACTTCTGCAGGTGTCCCATCTCCAGGGCCTGATTGATGAGAGCAACAGCTGACAGCATCTCCACGGCAACAAACAGTTCCTCCTGCTGCAGCTCCCCCTGCAGGACACAACAGGTAACACATGTTACACAGAAATACTCCAGCAACATGTAGATGAGACACTTGATGCACCTGGCACACAGCAGGTACCTGTGCAGTCTGTCTCTGTAGCAGCTGCAGCTCTCTGTGGTAGAGCTTCGCAGCAGATGGAAACACTTCAGGCAGTTGGAGCTCAGAGGTCATCAGGCAGCTGACTGTGTGTCTGGGGTCATTGCCGCGCAGCGACGCATTAACACTCTGCACTGCTGCATGCACTAAAACACACAGACAGAAAGGTATGTGTCAGATGTCAAAGTTCAACAGGTGTGTTTTGTTCAGGTGTGACAGGAGGTAACTCACTGTTTCGGGCTCTCTGAGCATCCTGGTTGGCGATGGTGACGCCGTCCTGCAGCTCGAAGGCCTCCAGAGGATCAACAGAACCCTGATCCTGGTCAGACGTCAAATAGGGATCAGAGGTCACAGAGAGGTCAAAAGCAGTAAGTATGTGTTTGTTTATCTTCCGTACCATAGCTTTCTGCTGGCGATCGGCTGACAGCTGGTCCAGGTACCAGGGGCCGTTGTCAGTATGGAGGCCCCTGAGGGCCAAACATGGTAGCTGCAGAGCCGAAAGCAGAGAGAGTTCATCTGCAGCATCCAGAGCTTCATCCACCTGCTCCACCGCTGATCGAACTGAGACAGAAACATCAATAATATTATCAATATCATCAATATTCCTCAGAGCCTGATGGCAAGTTCCAGGTATTTAATCTCACCCCCAAATCACATGACTCATGTCCCATCAATGACGAAAGATTGAAGTGTGATTGGTGCTGAAACTGCTTGGGAAGATCTCAGGACTATCTGATAAGTACTTGATAAGTGGAGTCCCTCTGTTCAGAGATACTGCTCTTGTCTAACATAGATTGCCCCCTTAACAATCTGAAGTTCAAGCAGGTTCTGAGTATTTTGTCCCTTTTGTCACATTTTTCTACACAGTGGGCTCGATCTTCACTGCAATTTTGGGAGTTTTTAATTTTTTTGACATCACTGAGGTGGAGGAGTTTATTGTCTTACTGTTGACAGTGTTGATGTTCTCCTGGATCTCCTTCTGAGTCAGATACTCCTCATACATGTCTTTGTCCTCCGAAGCCCCTTGCTGACACACAAACACAACGTCAACAACAGACAGCAATCTGATTGGACAGAGATGTGTGTCTCCCACCAATCAGAGCTCAGGTCTCACCCTGCCCGCCGCCCGCTCAGCCTTCGTCCTCTTCGCTTGTCGCAACATTTCCTGGTAGATGCACATCAGCACCTCCTGCAAGTTGGTGAGCAGGGCAGCAGGGTTTCTCAGAGCTGCCGCCACCACTCCTACATCGCCCTGGTCCACCGCCTTGTTAATGGCTACCACTGCCGCATGGACTGATGGGAAAACACATGGTTAGTTTATGGTTATGCTCTGTGAGCTCCCAGCCAATCACAACTCCCCTCTCTACCTGCAGCTTCATCCACTGACAGCTCATTGGCCAGGATTCCTCCGATCTTGCCGAAGGCGGGCATCTGGATGCCGTATTTATCGAGCTCCAGCTTCATGTTGTTGATCTCCTCCTCTGAACACACAGATCACATGATAGTAAGACTCTCTCTTTTTGGTCCAGATGTCTGAACGACACCTGGTGTTCACTATCAGGTGGTCCAATAAACAAAAATAAACTTTCTCTGTGAAGGTCACAAAGGATTTCCAGGATGGAGGTAAGAAACTACACCTGTATCTAATTGACTCCTGTCTATCTGTGTGTGGTGTTTACCTGTGAACTTGACTTTTCCATAGAGGTCGTGAATCTGTGGAGCCAAACCCAATCTGTACAGGTACAGGCTGCAGAGAGACACACAGGTAAACATTTAGACAGGTAATCGGACAGGTGATCGGACAGACAGGAGATCAGACTTGTGTACCTGAGTGCATGGATGCAGTAGACAGCTCTTGGCATGTTCTTCTTGTCGTACACATCTGTAGTTTCAGGATAGAAGATCTGACGACAACAACAACAACAACAACAACAGGTGATCACTAATGATTCAAACTGATCAGTTGATCAAAATTTTGACCAATCAGTGTGTTCACTGACCGCTGGCAGTCCCAGAGTCATCATGGCGCTCCTCCAGTGGTTGATATTGTCAGTGTGACGGAACTGAAGGCCCACAGCCTGAACAGACAGTACAATACAGCTGATGATTTATTACTGACAGATCAATACAGCTGACAGATCAATACACTGCTGATTATTGACAGAGGAGCTTGCTCTACTGGTTAAATAGACTAACATGGTAAATAAACTGCCTCTAACTGGTTGAAGCTGGAATAAACAGGTTCTAACTGATATAAATGGGTTCTGACAGGTCTAAACTGGTTCTGACTAGCAATGGTTCAGCCTGCTATTTTCTGGTTCTCATTGGTAAGAACTGGCTCTGACCACTATGAAAAGGTTCTAACTGGTTTAAACAGGTTCTCACTAGTTGACAATGGTTCTATCTGCATTAGGTGACCTGGTATCGGAGCTGCTCGGGGTCATAGATCTTCTTCTGAGGGACGGCGTTGGGAGCGAAACGATGACCCACTTTGGCGAGGATGACGCCGTTCCTCAGCGCCTCCTCCAGCTCAGTGGGGGCAGGAAGCTCCTCCCCCAGACATGCCTCCATCCACCTGAACAGGTAACACTTACTTTGTCAGCAGGTGAGCTAATATGATGTTTGTACGCCAGAACAGATTCGACGTGATCAGAACGTCTTTTCATTTTCAAGCTTTACACATTACATTTATACATTATTTAATACTTAAGTTCATTTTGTTCCGACAAACTGTATATGATTGTGTGAAGCAGCTCAGTATAAAAAGGAAAACATATTTGAAAGCTGTGGAGTTAAACTGGGAGCTAACAATAATTAAAAAGAGGCATTATTATTCATTATTACTCAACTTTGATTTAAAGCAGAAGTTTCTATTAAAGCCTTTAACAACGAGAAAAGCTTCAGTCTTTGTGTTAAACAAAGGTCAACATGAACACAGAGGACATTTTACAGCAGCTAAAGAAAATCCTCTTTTCCTTATTGTGTAACTGTTCTTTGTAAAAACAGATGAGTTCCTGCTGTGCAGACCTGCGGCTCCTTTCTGGCTCTGTTCACTGACCTCTTTGCCTCTTCCAGCCTGCACAAGTACTGATAGGCTACATTCTGGATCCTCTGTTCATCCATCTGCTCTGCTGTGAGACGCTCATCTGGACATACAACACCCCAGCACACAATACACAGAAGGCAGACAACATCAAAACACACAACATTACAACACACAGCAGACAGAGAACATCACAGCACACATTACAGGCAGGTAATGTAACCTGGCTAGAACAAACAGTACATAATGTAACCTAGTTAAAACA